CAGACATCATGATCTGAGTGCGGCAGCACGCACTTGGTTTATCGAGTAATGCGCAACAGACATTATGATCTGAGTGCGGCAGTGCGCACTTGGTTCATCGAGTAATGCGCAACAGACATCATGATCTGAGTGCGGCAGCATGCACTTGGTTTATCGAGTAATGCGCAACGGACATCATGATCTGAGTGCGGCAGCACGCACTTGGTTTATCGAGTAATGCTTTTTGTTTAGACCCCTTTGTCTTTTTTCTTCTCGGGTTTAGACAGTGAAATCTTACTTATTACTTCATACTTATTACTCTATAGTCCTATTTACAATAGAAGATCAATAACGATCAATACTATTAAGTAAGACTTACTTTTAATAACTTATGTTTGCTTTATATTCCGTGGTTTCTTTAAGCCTATAGAAGGCTGAAGAAACCAAGGATCAAGAAACCAATGGTTTGCTCTTAATTTTTCTCCCCTTTACTATATTAGCAAACACTTCTGACCAAACGCGCGCGCTATCATAAGATTTTTTACTCTACAGATATTTTGTACAGTAAATGAAAAGCATCTTTTTGATAAATTATAGATGATCATACAACTCGCATGAGCCGCAAGTTGCAACAAATTTTAATTGTATATTTCATTTTGTTTTAAAGCGGTTCCATTTCAAGTATTAAGCGTTTTGGCATACGATTCTACTGAGCAAAGATTGTACGGTCTGACACGAAATGGTAAGAACATTTTGAAAAGCAAAGATCCCAACGGCGACAAATGGCGAGGAATACCCCTCAAGGATTGGTTCTCGGTCAAAGATGGTAGCTCAGTCTACACAGCAGTCGAGATTCCTTTTGTACCAATCAGTCGTACTCAAACCAACGTCGTTGAACCATTAGTGCAATTGACAGCTTTAAATGGAGACGAATGGCAAGGTAAGCGATTCATACGCAGTGCTTCTTTACACATTTTTCTTAGCATTAACACGCATAAAGAATGACAAATGTGATCTGTTCGCGCCAGCTCACTTATGGAATACAATTTATTTGATAGCTGATCAAATAGGAGTGTATTACAAGCCAGTTGATGGGGCTAGCAAAATGGTTCTGTCTTTCTTACCATACAGTCAAGGTAACAACACCTAAATCATTATGAAGTCACTAATCTAAACTATATTCCATGCTATACATTTCTATTCTGCTCAATTTCCCWTACTTCAAGCTAACTCTAACGCTTATTCCATCCAACCAATTGCCCCCGGAATTCTCTTTGTTTGCTTGCAAAGTCTATTTTTCCTAGTTTTAATAGTCTCCAAGCATCAGATTTTATGTGAACCCTTAAACAACCTCTGTGTTGATCAGAACCAACGGCGCGGCTAACTCTCAAATTGAATTTGAATCTAGCGTGTTAGTTTTTGCAGTAACTAGATTAACCATAGACCTAAGACAATCTACTTATGAATATGCGACGCCGAATCCAGGAATCGAAATTCTATGGGTGAGAGGCGAATGCATGTACTGCCCCTGCGCCAACCTTGATTCCCTAAGCCTCATTGTTACAAGTACACAATATTTTTACGCTGCTGTTCTTCAGACCTTTCACCAAATCCATGCCATACTGGTGTTTGTTTACATGGTCGATGTGAGCAACTTGTTCGCTCACAATTCAAATGCCACTGTAGACAAGGATACACAGGACGCTTTTGTGACACAGGTAAGATATTGTGATATTTACCTTTCAAACGCTTAATCATGAGACTGAATTTCGAGTTTTGCAATTTTGCTCCCTCATTTCCAACATTACAGGTGCAATTTGGAGTCCCGTCAATCGCCATTGAAACCGCCGCTCTAGTTGCGCAGACAATTAGATTAAGATTTTACCACGTTTTCATCGTTTTCGAATTTTGTTTTACCTTTCGTTAACCTTCTCACCAAAAACATATATCTCTTGGTTTATCTACTACTTGAATATTTTTATGATTCAAAGAAAGAAAGAAAGTTTCCATTCCTTTTGCATTAACATTTTTATATGCCTAGGATTATAATTCATTTATGGTTCATCGTTTTGGGTCACAAGAGGCTTCCTGGAGTTTAATGACTCCTTTTTCAAAAATGCGTAGAGAGTTTGCTACAGCATTTTGGGCCCGCCGCTGGATGAACAAAAATACGTTATCGTTACTATATTAATTCAAGACCTATCAAATGTCTGGATGTTTTTCCCGACTGATTCATTTTTTAGCTACCGACTATTGTTTATCTAATCCTTGTCAAAATGGAGGAACTTGTTCACCACTATTCTTGTTCTTTAACTGCTCGTGCCAACCGGGTTATTCGGGCGAAAGGTGTCAAGGTATAGTCTGTAATTTTAATTTTTCAAAAGGATCAATACTCAGTTTAAATTCAGCATTATCATTATTGTTATTATTGTCATTAATATCAAATAAATTGCCCCCCGCAACCCCCTGCCCCGCCCCGCCCCGCCCCACCCCAACGCCCTTTTTTATAGAATCATTCGAAATTTGTTTTTTCTTTCATGATAGACGTCTTTATAAAACAATTAGCTTTTCACTAGATCATAGGTCCGCATCCCATATAGCATCTGACATGCCGGTTGCGCTAATTAGTGTGGATTACATTGTACCTATTACTGTTTTTCAGATTATGACGAATGCACGATCCATGCTTGAATGGAGGGACGTGTGTTGATGGTGGTAACAACTTTACTTGTACATGCGCACCGAACTACCGAGGAGTAACTTGTCAAGGTAAAATAGACCTGGCTTTTTTCCTTGGACGTACTGTTTTCCCATTTCCCGTGTCATTCCCTAGAATATTATTTCTTTGCTAAATGGGTGCGTACGAGAAAATTATATTACACAGTGGATACAACTCAAACCAAAGAAGTTTATTCTCGAGATTGCAAGAGAATGACACTTGGTCTAAAATGGGAAAACATTACCAAAGTAAAGAAGTATATTAAATCCTACCTATTTAAATATATATTAACATATTCACGATAAACCAATTATTGCTTGACCTGCCGCATGAGGAAGACGTATCGATAAGGTTTTCCGGTTTTCCTCCCTCCGCAAAAATCAACTTCTAAATATCTTAATTCGATCTAGAAGGACCTAGATGAGAATTACTCTGTGTAATTCTAGTTACCCTAAAATTAATGCGTAGTTTTTGAAATTAAGATTCTATTGTTTTGTCCTCTGGATTGGGCTGCATTGGGAATATCCTGCAAGGGGTCTATATCGGGGTTTGCGTCATTCTCTTTTAGGGGCTTCAATATATCGTACCAAAAGCTCGTTTGCGGTTTCGGGGGTTCAAAAGAACCCACAGAACCACCCCTAGAACCACCCATGAATCAGTCCCCTATATAACAGGAGGTAAGAGATGTCATGCTARGAGTACTCTTGTTGATTCCTTGTTCTTCAGATTTTGACGATTGTGCAAGCTCTCCTTGCCTTCATGGAGGTACTTGTACTGATGGTGCATCTTCTTACAAGTGTTCTTGTCTAGCTGGTTATTCTGGCACAAACTGYCAAGGTACATGGGATATGTAATACTAAATGATATGTAAACGAAAAATGCAAACAAACAAATGAGTGAACGACGACACAAACAAACAAAGACCAACGCCGGAAAAAAGAAAAGGATAAAGCAAACACATTTTAAAGTTGTTTTTTGCGTAGGTTTGTTTTGTAGTAAAAAAACAAATTTCTGATTGTTTAGTGTTGCTATCGGAAATTTGTTAAATTTATTCTCCAACAAATTCTTCATCCTTTTTTAGTGATGCCTTGTTCATCAAGCCCTTGTTTAAATGGTGGAACATGCAGTCATCCAAATAGCGGGGGGTACTTGTGTGCCTGTAACATACGATATTCAGGCCCTCATTGTGGAAATGGTAAGTAAAATRCATCATTAAGGATTTCTAACATGAGAGCAGGATGTAACAAGGTTAAAGCAAAATCTGGTGCATACTTACATTCTGTTCTATCATTCCACGGAGTACTTCAAAACTTTTTCATACTAAGGTTGTAGTATACATTTATACAAATATCCAATGAGATGCAAGATATCCAATGAGATGCAAAAACATAAGTATCCTMTCTGGCATTACTTAGCTTCTATTGTATCAGACCTAGGTATTGTAGAATTTGTAAGTTTTAACGATTAAAATTGTTTATCATCAATAAGAGGAAAGACAGATAAAGCTGACGTTAACGAGCGTGCGCTCTTTCCGTTAGTTGTTTTGATCAGTAAAAATTATAAGTTTTTATCGTTTTTGTTATTGTAAAAAACAAATTGACATCAGTATCTATCCTCTTAATGACGATAATTGTGTAATCACATTGTCAAAGTAGTATGCAGATCCACTTGGCTACGCCACGTGGATCCACACTACTTTAATTTGACAATGTGATGACGCAATTTATCGTCAATAAGAGGAAAGACACATTAAAAACTGATTTCAATAATACATATAAATCACTTAGAATTACTTAGAATTACTTTTAATGAATGACAGCTATTTGTTAACCATTATCGAAAAACCAGAATCGTAATCCAATGATAGCCTAGTGAATGGGAAGCATTGAGTTTCACAATACAGTATACTGATTAAGGCCTCCACCACTCGTTTGGTTACTTGTGGTATTCTTGTCCAGGGTGGTTTGGTAAGTGATGGTACCATGTCTATGGTGGTATGGTTGGTGATGGTACCATGTCTATGGTGGTTTGGT